CCGGAAGTGTTTTCACCCGTGAACTCACACGTTCCCGAACTGTTACAGTACTATCTTCTGCTGCTCCCACACGCGAACTGCTCTTGCTGACTCTGCGCTTGACATCATGACAAGACTGCCCCTGGATGCCCCTGGATATTTGTCCGTAACTCGGAAGTTTTCGAACTAAACTTCCTTTGATAATCATCAACCAACAGGGCTAGATCACAGCCTTATGCTCCGTGCAATCGCAGCCCGCCACCACAATGAACCAAGCAGTGCCCGGCAAGGCATCACTGGCGCGATAGCAGCCTGACCGAGATCCGTGTGACAAATGGTGGTTTCCTAAATGGTGGTATCCCAAACTCATCTAAAATTTGTCTTTATCAATGGGAAAACCAATGGGTTGGGGTAATGGGGTATATTTCAGGGGACCTCCAAATGTGTTGATGATGTTGATGGAAAGGATAATGAACATGTTGGTGAATGTGTTGGGAGCCTGGAGTGTAGACATCCTGGAACTTGCAGCTGCAATCCTGTCATCGCAGGCGGATCATCTTACAACTAGCCCTTTGGGTTTGCCCAAAAATGGAGATACCCCAAAATTGTTTTTTTCCACAGATATCAATGAGAAAATGATGCGCGAGTCAACCACTACTGTAGACTTTCTGGTAGCCATGATACCTATACCCGCTTTCCCAAAAATGCCTGTCCTGATCGCAGCTTTCCCCAAGGGTCACGGTGTTGTCGGAATTGCACTGCACCTTGGCTACAGCCCCTGCCAGGGGTCCGGCCGCCGTCAAGGTCACGCAGGAGCCATAGTCGTTGCTGAAGTAGAGCTCCTGGGGGTCCAATGCCAACACCATGGACGTCGAGCCCAGGAAGGCCATCCGAAAGTGTTGGCGTTGTCAAAAAACTGTTGGAAAACCCCAAAATCCATGAGAATCCTAGTATGTATTTATCATCGTTTCCCAGTGAACAGCGCTATATGCTGGAAGTCAATTCTAATGAACAAAACACCATTAAGACCCGGAAGGGTCTAGTCCGATTCTCCTCAAAGGTTGCACCCACCATGTTCACAGTGCCAGGAGCCCGGCAACACTCATCAGGCACTTTCTGCTTCAAGGACTTTGCCAAGCAGGAGTGCAAAATGGGAGTTGAGCCTCAGGAAACTGCCCACTGGACAGAGGAAGAGTAAATTGAGTAAATTCGCACAAACTAGCTAGAAACATGCAAAATTCAAAAACCGAGTTCGACCAACAGTCAGCTGGTGTTTTGGCAATTTGTTCTGAATCCCAGGATTCATTGGATTTGTGGATTTTTTTTCAGAAAACTCGAGTTTTCCCAGTGAATCCATTTAGGTCCTAGCGTGTTTTTCCACCGATTCTGTCAGAATTTCCCGCGCCAAGCAGCTGAGGTTATAGACAACCCAAGTCCCCCGCGGCGCCCGGGTATTGTCGGGACATGCGTGTCTCCAGCGCATGGTCGTCGTGCTGGTGAAGGGTCGTTCCGTTGGATGTGCCTGCCAGGCCAACTGGGAAACTGATCCAAGTTGGGAACCGGTCGATAGCCCATATTAATTAATTAATTAATATATATATATGCACATATGATATGATATGAAATGATATGATACAATATAATATAATATAATATAATACAATATGATGTGATATTAATATAATATAATATAATATAATATATTATAATATAATATAAATATAATATAATATAATATAATAAAAAAAATATAATATAATATAATATAATACAATATAATATAATATAATAATATATAATATAATATAATATAATATAATATTAATATCATATAATATAATATTATATTATATAATATAATATTATATAATTTAATTTAGCTTTTTTTAAAGTCTCGTAAACATATTTTTGTTATCTAGCGTACGTGTAGTGTAGTGACGTGTACGTACGTAATCTTATATAATATAATATTATATAATATAAAATTATATTATATAATATTATATAATATTATATTATATAATATAATATTATATTATATAATATTATATTATATAATATAATATCATATCATATTATATTATATTATATATGTAAATAATTATATATTATATACATTATATATTATATATATAATATATACATATTATATCAAATATATAGTACGTATATTATATATATACTGTTTATATGTATATTGCGTATATTATATATACGATATGAATTACGTGTATTTTATTTTTATATTTTTTGTTTTTACGTATAAACACTCGCTTGAGATGGTTCATCTGCTCTCCATTTTCGGCGTCCCTGACCGTCTGCACCGGCCTCTGGAACCTGTGTTGGGCGCTCTGTGACAAAAACCTCGGTCCTTAGTGGGACACTTTTGGCAAGCTCTGGAAAAATGACACCAAAAAACGAAAATCTATATAGAGGTTTCCTGAAATAGGGGTACCCCAAATCATCCATTTTCATTATAAACCATCTATTTGGGAACACCCCCCCTTTCTTATCTCTTTCGAAAACACAAAAAAACGCAAAAAACATCAGCCCAGGGTCGCATAGGCCACATTAGGCGCCAACCGCGGGATGCTGGTGCTGTGCACCGTCGGGTGGCTTTTGATTTCCATCTCTTTCTTGGCCTCCGCTGCTGCCGTTGCTGCCACACTGGCTGCCTCTTTGGCATCCTCAACGGCCTTCAGCAGCTCCTGGGATGTGAAACACAGGGGGGGTTCATGGGGGTTCCACCCCCCAAATGGATTGTTTACGGGAAATTCTATTAAAATTGATGATTTGGGGTTGCCCTATTTTAGGAAACCCCCCACATTGCAGGATCGTAGGATTTTCTTTTGACAGTCCTCCTGTCTTTCTAACTTCATCTCATCTTATCTTACCTTATCTGGTCAGATCTGTTTTGTCTCACCTCAGTCTGTTCAGACACCTCAGCTCACATTATCTCCTGTCACCTTCTCCCCCGTCTACTGATGTCTGCCTCATCTGATCTCATCCTGAAAGAATCACCTTATCCTAGACCACTTTTTCTTATCTCCTCTTCTCTTCTCGGCTCATCTCATTCGATCTCACCTTGTCTTCTCTTCCTATGTCCTGACCTCATTTTCTCTCATCTATTCTTCTGTAACGTTGGATTCCAATACGATCTACAACGCAATTTTGCAAAACATCGCAGCAGCTTGCAGTAAGGCTGCTCCAAAACCGGCGGCCCGCTTTTGAAAAGGCAAATAGAACGAGGAAAAAGATCGCCAAAAACGAAAAAGAAAAACCAACGCTCATCACTGCAACCTTTGCGCAGCCACTCAACTGCGATTTTCAGAGAAGGGTTGCAAAACACCAGGGAACTACTCCGTAGATGGCAGCATCCTCCAGTGACCTTGACACAGTGGTTCCACTGCCCCTTGTAACAGGCAGCAGCAATCACAGAGTCACTCTACGCTCACCACTGCAGCAAGTAGCAGCATTCACCCAGCCGTCCAATCAGATTTGCAATGCGCTTGCAAAACAGCATGAGGCCGGTAAGAAGAAATGGTGCTGCAAAACCTCCCTCTCAATCACTCAAGAACCCAAAAAAAATCTACAACCGCGAAAAAATCATCATTGCAACCTTTGGGCAGCCAGAGCAACACCAAACACTTTTACGTAGACCGTAGCATCCTGCATGCAGTGCCCTTAATGCAGCAATTCCTTTGCGATCTACAACCCCAGGTTGCCCAACACCAGAGTACTAAGCGGCAGCCGCAGCAAGTAAGCACAAACTGTAATGCAAGCTGCTGAAACACACAAGCCCATTTGACGGGGTCCTCAACCCTGGGCATGCAGCCGCATCAAACACACGAACCCATTTAACGGGGCCACCAACCCAAGGCAAGCGCGCCTATTTAACGGGGTTGGCGCCCAGGGTAAGACAACATGGCAATTAATACCCATTTAACGGAGTTACCAACCCAGGGCAAACGCGCCCATTTGACGGGGTTAGCAACCCAGGGTAACCTGCCAACACGAGCCCATTTAACGGGGCAACTAACCCTGAGCAAGCGCGCTCATTTAACGGGGTTAGCCACCCAGGGCAAAACAACAACACACCGTAGCGTGCCCAAAATCACTCCCGGGCAAGCGCGCCCGAAATCACGAAAAGAAATAATTTGGAGAGGAATTGCAGGGTCCCCACACAAAGCAAATGTGCCACCACAACCAGGCCAGCAGCCTCACACATACCAGCAACACAAATGCCCTCAGGCCGAGCAAGCGCGCCCACACACAAAGGCCGTATGAGGCCTAACAACATCCACGATGTCGACATAAGCGAAATCCATCAAACCACGGATTATCAAACCGCATTTCATACCCTGCATGCATCACCGAACCTGGGCGGCACGCCAAACACCAATTGCTATCATCCTCATCCACGCTCAACGCGCGATGTCCAACACCTGAAACGGTATTAACAATCCAAGGTCCTTCAAACTCAACCAATTCCGAAGCTACAACATCCACATCATCGCATTCCGATGACTGTTCACCGTCACTTGTGACAACGCTTGACGACTCACCCTGGCTAGATTCGCTCTCTGTCTCTGAATCCTCAACCACCGCGTACTTGCTGCCTGAAGGTCGCACACTTACTGGTGTCTGCAGAGCTCGAATACCTCTTTCGAGAGGTATTTTTGGGGCCCAATTTTGCTCAATCGCATCCAAAACAGAACTTTGACAGCGTAGTTGCCCTACCACATCATCACGACCATACTTCTGGACACAACCTGAAACTCCTGGTTGCTTATGGTGTCCCTGCGAAGCTCTGTCCGCTGCATCCACTTGCAGCTGCAATGCCCATGCTAAAACTGTGCACTTCAAACTGTGTAAAGTAAATGTGCAAGCCATATCAGGAGTCAAGCCAGCATACCATACACCACCAAACAGCGTCAAGTGGGAAAGCATAAGAGTATATATAAGAAAGCGGCTTCCCGTTGTGAGCTAGTAAGTAGTCTCGAGTGGGGCACGCAGATCGCAATTTTTCGACTTCCGCAAAGAAAATTGCCCCCCAGCCAACACCAGCACAGCCGCCAGCACAACAGCCAAACGTCATTCCCTTTGCGGAAGACTTTGTGCGCCAGCAGAAACCTTTCAAATGTTGCCCGTCAAAGGTCACTGAACTTAAACGCAACCTTTGCGCATCTGACCAACGCAGGCTCGCCCACACCATCAACAAAATGACTGAAATCAACAAATGTTCCTCTGCTGGTGCTGTGGATAGTGCTTCTTCAAGACGCTGCACAATGTTCAGCGGTAACGGCACAGCTTCCCGCCCCAACTGGATCGACCACTTCCCGCTCCTTCTCCAAGCTTGAATCAAAGGTGATTCCAAACAGTGCAGCAATTTAGTTAACTGAAGCTTGTGGGCAGCAAAAGACAAACTACTCACCACGTTTTGCATGGATATCGCACGATGACTTCCTCTATCTCCGCGACTGCCTTCATGTAAGCTCGTGACAAAATCCAAAAATTCTTGCAAGGATGGGGCGCCAGGCTGCCACCCGTGCGCGGCGCAAAAAGCCAACCACAACCTCCAACCACTAACATGCTTGCGCAATGTTGCAGGGGCGCGATCTAGAAACAATTTCTTCAATTGTTCTTTTCCGGCACTTGGAAGATTGCTTAGGATGTCACTATCTGTAGCCACCGAAGCAGATAACGATATCCACAGATCTGCTAGCTGCTCCCGCTCTTCCTCTTCGCGCTCGCGCAACAATCTGCAGGTGGGAGACCCAATCTCCTTTGCCAGCCCAACATTAACATGGCGGCGAACTCCACGCCCCACAACGAAGGTCGCAGACACAGGAGCTGCTGCACCCGATGAAGGCGCAACCACTTCCAGGCCTTGCCTGGATACCTGAAAAGGATTGATGAACACCACTTTCCTGTAAATTGGGCGAGGCACACTTGCAACACTTTGCAAATCAGCAACCTGGTACGGCGACGACCGCACCGTACGCTTCATAAGCAGCAAAAGGAAGAACAAACGAAAACACGAAACACAAGCAATATACACGTTTCAAATGCCACAGCCCAGCACACACCCACTACAAGCAGCTGTGGCACAGCACTCACAAGCACATAGTCAGAAGAGTGTGGCAGAGGGTTAGCACTGACCGTGCAAGCATGGTAGTGGACCAAGCGGCAGCCGCAGCAAGTAGCGGGTTTACAAATCTAAACCGCAAACACAAAAGAACTGCGTATAGATAAATTGCGATTGATGTGTAGACATATAGACATAGATGCAAAAATAGACCGCAAATCCAGCTGAAACACACAGTGCGCACTGCTCCGTGACCACACCAGCGCGCAGAGCCCGCAACCCGGCAAACAAACCTACCTTCACCCCTGCAACAGCCACATTATATGAAAACCGACACCATATTTCGTTCTCCGGCCAACCTTCCTTCCACATAGACTGCACCATTTCCACTGCCATTCCAATGTGATTTACAAGTTGAACTTGTTGAAACTCGAAGTTACGCGCAATTTAGGCCTGTCCACATCCTTCTAAAAAGTGACCCCCAACAAATGTACCAAGAGGTGCCTAGAGCGCACCTAGGGCCTATGCTCTAGGGTGTCTTGGAATCAAGACTGGCACCTTTAGATTGCCATTGGTTCAAGCTGGCCAGCAGCGGCTAACAAAATTGGAAAAACACAAACCTATAGTAAGATGAAGCACCTACTACAACCAGGTTCGGTGGGAATATGATGTTGTGATGTGTCCATATCGTAGGTTGCTTGGATTGGGCTGTTTGAATGTAATTGTTAGACCTTAAAACCATGAACTTACATTATAATCGAATGTCGCGTCAGTAGACAATCCTGAACTTTTTGCCAACTCACCCACCCGTTGGAAGTACGAAATCAACCCAGTATGAGCATGATGGATGTGTAATCATGTAACCCGGTCCCAACTCTGTGTTTCTGCTCGTCGGGCCACTCATCATGTGCTACTACAACTGATGCACTCGGTAGTCAGAACAATGAGGTACAAGCACTCCGGCCATGTTCACAACTGACGGAATTGAACTAGCAACTCTGGCATAAGTTGATATCTCCAGCTCAGCACAAACACAGACATCAAGAAGTCAGGACCCTGATATTTGGTATGTTGCGCTTAGCTTTTGCTCAGCACTGGAATACTATGGTCCCTCAAATATTCGCCAGCCATGTGTGGACCACTGGCGCATTATATGCGTTGATGGCATGTTCCAACCACCCTAAAGTGCCCGTGCTCGGCGGCGGCTCCCTCGCCTCTTCGGAATGGTCAGATGCCTTGGCTTGCTGTTCCCGTCGCATGACTGGCCGATCATCGGCCAACCTCAGTTGGGCTACAACTTCCATCCTGCACATGGCAATGTGGCAAACCCAACAGTAAAATCGATACACCAGAAATTGCGGGATAAATTAAACGATACATATGTAATTCTGTATTGGATAATATCTCAAAATCTGGGATACGGGATAATCATAATACACCAGTCTCGAAAGGGTAGCTTATGATATTGGCTATTCCCCTAGTAAGTAGCCCAGTAATGATGAGATTCTCAAGTGATGCCCCTCTTTCACAGGTGATTATCGACATTGTTTATGGCATTGGGTTTAGTACATTGCCCGTGAACTGCCAGGATGTGCCGTCTCTAGTCAACCCTTTGATCTTCACAAGGTCCGTCAAACTTGTGTTTGATCTATCTGCAACAAGCCAAGACCATTGATTCGTAGAATACCGTAGAATCGAAACCTACGATCAAACTCTGATACAGTTGGTTACTGCATCCAACTGGGAGAAACAGCTGGGTCAAGATGATTTCCTCGAACGCTTCCAACTAGTCCCAACCCCCTGGCTCCGCAATTCTGAGCATCTGCCTGGCATCAGAGATAGTACCGTTCGCCTGCCAAGTGCACAGGAAGGTGGCAATTTCTTGCTTCACTGAGGACTCCTCTCGTCTAAGCTCCTTTTGTGACCAGGGGTAAAGAAAAGGAAAGACTTGTTAGACTGCTAAACCTCCAAAAAGATGACACATTCCGGGCTTCAGACATTTCGTCACCTATCACTTTTGCTTTTTCTCTTTCTTAACATTCGCCTCCAGTAATTTAACATAGCTATGGAAAATTGCCTGTTTATAGATGATTTGCCTATTAAAAATCCCGATTCCGCCCCGCGAAATCTCCATTTATTGATGGTTAACTACTGTACCACTGTTTCCATGAAACCTCCATGAAACCTCCATGAAATCCCCATGTTAGTAGCCAAGAGACTGCAATCTCCAAGACCTTTTGGATCTCCTCCGTCTCATCGGGGCTGCGCACTTTCAGTTCTAAGTGCGAAAGGCCGCAACTGTTGCGGCTGTTGAGCCACGAAATGGTTCAAAAATATCCAGAAATTAGGTTTGTCTGCTGAGGAGGTATGTCTTTTTCTACAATTTCTACCCATTTTCAGACTGTGTTTTCCGAGTTAGAAATCTGCTGCACAATGGGGCAACTACTTCTGGCAACAGATATGCGCAACTCTCAATTTCAAGAGCCCACTGTGTCTGGAGCTCTCCTTGCTCCAGCCATTCCTGGCCGTGGATGAAACTGGATGAATTCACCCATGAAAAATGTCGCAGATCAGAAACTCTCACCTGATACAAACTGATTTCCACCACCCGGTAATCTCATGCAACCGGCCTTAAAAGAAGAGCGCAGGTGAGGCATTGAAGCGTTCTGAGATGCATCGCTTTCCTCATGGGTGCTCTACTGACAACATATTTGATGCAGATCTTCCAATGCAAACCACAGGCAGACCGTGGGTCGAGACTTCCATCCCACCATTTTGAATAGTTCTCTCACAAAAGAGGCCAGTAGACCTGTGGATTTGGGACATGATTTCTGTTAAGCAATCTCCAACCTTCAGATTTTGCTTTCGACAGAAAATTATCCAAATATCTAAATCTTGAATTTTCACCATGTGACCTGTAGATCAAGGACCAAATAGAAAGTTGCATTGAAGTCCAACCCCAATCCGATCCTGGGAATTCTGGGAATTCTCAGCCCGCGGCGCAGACTTGTTTCACAAGCTATCTTTGTGGGCGCTGGGAGGAAAGGAGCACCTCAGCATCCATTTTGTCCGTCCTGTTACGGCTCAGTGGCGACACACTGCAATCGTTGATGGTGTGGAAACTGGGTGGAACTGATGGATACGCCCCCTGACACCCGCTGCCAGTCACCTTCTTGAAGAGCTCGGTAGTCGAGGGTTTTGTGAGTTATATTTGGGCAAGAGAGAAAACTGCGACGGGGTTTAATCCATCCCCAAAATGATGTTCGATTGATTCGATTGGGTTCAGAAAGACCTTGGCAATGCCGCATGGGTTCTTTTCTCATAGGCCAAAACAAACAACCCCCCAGTCGTGCAAAGCCGCCAAGAAGGAAAGAGTTTTGCACATATACTTTGCTGACAAAGAAGGCCTCAGTGCAGTCGCAAGTTTCAGCACCAAATGAAGCTTCCAATGCAACAAGCTGCAAGAAGAAATGTCGGAAATGTTCAAGTAATCAATTGTAAGTAGGTATTTGCCTCTCTAAAAGAAGTCACACCGTTACCCGCCAATTCCGTAGACTTGACTTGAAAAAGACTGGAAAACCTCTGCAACCTGTGATCACCTGTGCATCTCAGCCAGGCATCCCCGTACCCAAAACATGGGTAGAATGGGCACGGCTGGAGCCAGAGCGGCTGTGCGAGCGGCGAAAACTGAAGGTTCCCAAGAGTTGTGAAAAATCATGTGCGCCTTCAAACATCTTCCAAGCTTCACGTGTCAAGGATATCAATTAGATTGGATCTGCTAAACCAATCACCCTTGATTCATTTTGCAAAGGGTTTTCCGCAGTAGGGTATGCCACAACAAAATTGCCACGTAAAATATGAGGAAAAATATCCTCTGAACCTTGGGATTTGAGACACCCCCGTCTTCGGCCAAACGCATTCAAATCTGTCCAAATACTATCGGAACCCCAGTCCAATTGGTTTCAATACATCAATCAAGTTATATAGATAAGGCCTGGCCTTCAACACCGAGCTGCTTGCCCGCGTCTGCCCAGGCTTCACCCACGAGCCAAGAGGCTGCGGCTGAAGATCCCATGGTGGCCATGGTCCCATGTGGCATACAACCGCAATAGCAAGTTTTTACATTTCCTTGATATCAATTTCATGATCAATGCACATAAACATACATAAACGCTAACTAAGAGACAACCACCGAGGCACCACCAAGATACCACCGAGACGCCACCCAAAAACCACCCCGTGTACATGGTCTCTATGAGAGGTCTTTTGGCAAGATCTCTGTACAAGTTCTCTTGAAGAGGTCTCTTGGCAAGATATCTGTAAGTCTGCAAGAGATCTTTATACAAGATCTCTTCACAAGGTTTCTGTTTATTCAAAAACTCTTGGCAAGATCTCGGCAAGAGATCTCTATCTCCCTGTATAATGTCTCTATGTGAGGTCTCTTGGCAAGATCTCTGTACAAGGTCTCTATAATCTTGGCAAGATCGCTGTGGGGGATCTCCGGCAGGATCCCTGCGGTCTCTTGCCAAGATCGCCTTGGAGATCTCTATAAAAGATCTCTGCACAAGCTCTCTGTAAGCGATCTGCACGCAAGGGCAAGATCTCTGCAAGACATCTCGTCTCTGTACAAGATCTCTAGAAAAGGTCTCTGACTGCGCATGCACAGTGTTGACAAGAAATATTGATGTTTCAAAGGGGAAAGTGAACCCAATGTATGTGGTTCATGGAAAAGATTGCGCGAGTCGATCCACACATTGCGGCTGCTGACAGCCACACCAGCAAAAGACAAAGGGGATGCCTACAGTTGAAATGCACATGCAAAAAATGGAAGACCGAGGAACTCTTGTTCTGTAAGGGTCACCAAAATTGCCGGACACCGATGAGACCACCTTATCCACGATGAATCAACACCAGGTTGTAACTATTACCGTAAGAACACACTGTTTGGGGAATTGACAGCAAGAGTGAATGCCCGAAAAACGGTAACAACACGACTGGGACGCCACAGCAAGACGCCCGCAAGACATCACCCAGAGACCCTCCAGAAACCACCAACAGCCCTCAGCCCACCAAGAGATCGCCGGCACCACCGAAACACCGAGATACGACCGAGACACCACCAAGGCACAACGAGACACCACCGAGACACTACCGGGACACTACCGAGACACTACCGAGAGACTACCAAGAGACCACTGAATCACCACGAAGAGATCACCGACAAAACCGAGACACCACCAAGACACCGCGGGCAGCCAGTAACCGGACGGCGCCCGTCCAACTTTAGAGTTAACAACCCCAAGCTATCGCTAGTGGGATAATATGCTCATGGAATGGGGGGGGGGGTTTTTTTTTCAAACGATCAACTGGTTGTGAATCCGGACTTGATGTTGTCTATGTGTGACTCAGGAATGACTCCGAAAAGAACATATAGTCAGTCGGAAAACCTATTGTAAGTTGGCCGGTCAACAGTCGGCAACAGAGGCAAACCAAAGACTTTTCTATGTATACATTCAGCAAACACGGCTTGGGCAAATGCTGCGGAACTGGCCCTGTATTGATACGCAGATACGCGAGTTGACATGAAATCACATGTGTCTGCAGGGCAGCAACGAAAGAAGTGGCGGAGAAAAGTGGAAATTCCCCAGTTGCTTGGAAAATTCCTTGCTGCTTCAACAAACAACCCACCTTTGCAAGCACTGCTTGGCCTTGTTTCGTCGCTGGAACCGCAAACCGAACCAAGTGTGGTGAAGTTCAAGAGTCATCGACGCCACGTCTTTGCAAGTGAGAAAAGGGCTTCGGCTTCAAGCAACAATTTGGAAGAAGCCTTTTACACAAGAAGGGCTATTGGTCTTTTGTTTTCAATTGTTTCCTCAACGTTTCTGTTTTGGTGCCTGAAGCCGTTAAGCCGAAGAAGTGACACTTACCACCAATCAAATTAGCGATTGCGTTCTGTGATTTGAAAAACTTTGACAAATAGAAACTACATGGTGAACTGAAGGCATGCTTCAAGTGAGGTCAGGTTCGACGGAGGCTTCGTCAGGAAGGACGTTCTGAACTCTCGTGATGTCACGGCGTCTTTTCAATCGTGGACCTGCAGACCATTTGGATGTGGGCTCAAAGAGAAGATCCGGTGCCTTCAACTGGAGCTGGCACACTGCTGACATAGACATCTGTCCTACGCCACTTTCATTTTGATTCAAGTTAAGGCATTTATACTTTGGGTTGTATTTCCCCTTCCATGCAAAACGTGGTGTGAGCATCTGATTTTGCGCCCTGCAGCCATGGGGCAGAATCCACAAAATAGAGGGACTAGAGGCAGCTCCAGTGGGAGATCATCCTCACCATTCACCGAGTCCAACTCGTGGTCGACGTACACATCACTCCAAATCCTGTCCCTTTGCATAGCAGCCTTGGAGAAATGTCTCAAAAAACTGCGTAAACATGTGGCAATCCTCAAGCACAAAAAAGGTTTTACATGTTCCTCAAGGCATAGAACTGTAGAAGTGATTAGAACTGCAAATCTAGGATCCAAGAATTGCCGTGCGTAGCTGTTGGCCATTTGTTGCGTACTCCATGTCTTCGACATAATTGCACAGAAGCCATCAGCATCCAAGCAGAGCAAGTCAGATACCTCTTCTGCCTCAAAGTCGCCCATGTGAATCCAAGGCGTCCATAGACAAGCTTCGGCCACCCACACCTGATCATTCACCAGCTCTTCCCCTTGATCACGATAGTATGACAGCGTCCCATCCAATTTCATATATGCGGATGAAGCACGGCTGCCACTTAAAAAGATGATATCGCCTGCTGCAGCCACCAGCTGCTGCAAGCTGCTGGTGGTTGAATGTACTGCCTCCAAGGTCTGAATATCAGGAGCTTCGAGCAGATCCTTCAGCATGGGCAGCTTGCTGAGTGATGCTCGGTGCCGTTCAAACTGCAATTCCCTGAAGAGCGGACGAGAAAGCAAATCCAGCAGTGGCACTCGCAAGTCTGACGACCTGGCCAGGGATTGGGAGATTTGACGTTTGTCAAAACTCCACAGAACGTTGCCAGTTCACATTGATGACGAGTTGAGGTCTTGGTTTACTGATCTAACATGTTCTACCACGATTACTAAGTTTACTGTTCCACCCCTGCGCAAGATCAGCACGCCTAGTCAGTCCTATTGTGCTAAATGGTTGCTTTTATACAAGGATTGTCGTATTCTCTTTCCTGCTGTTTCCATTTGCGCAACATATTGGAAAACATATTGGAAATACGTTCAAACCTGAAAACATATTGGAAATACTGTCAAACCCATGGAGCGCCCTGCTACAATGTTGCAAGCTATTTTAGGTCACATGTTCACATGAACAAAAAGCTTGTGACACGCAACATGGTCATGATATGTGTGGTTAAGAACATTGATCTAGGGTAGTATGCTCAGTAATCAGTAATCTGTATCTTAGGGATACAGAAACCAAAACCTGGGCGGAGAGTTGTTTGATTTCAATAGCTCTAGCATCTTTATCTATACTTGCGTTCTATTTCAGTTGACAAGCCACGCCACACAGGAGACTAGGGGTAGACAACCGGCTAGCGAGGCACACGACAACACAACCAATATGGGGTGCATGTTGAAGATCAAGGCTAAAAGTTCAATCATAGTTGCGCAAAAAAAAACAGGTTTCGATGTCACATGAATATCCCCAAATAAACAGCATTCACGTTTTGTGCATCGCTGCTTCAACCTGGGCTGATCTTTGCGTAGACCACTACCTACCGTAGTAAAAGAGAAATCTCTTTCAACGGTGGCTATCTTCCACTCGCGAGCACATGCATGAATAGTATTATTATTTCTGTATTATTTATAGCATTACGTGACTATGTGCATGTATGATCATATATGTATGTTTTGCTACATGTCTGTACAAGTTTTGATCATGTCAGGGCCTGGCTTTTTGGGCGTTCGTAAACTGGTGCTGGAGGAATTGTGTCACCTTGTGGCTGACATCGTGCGGAATGTTGTTTTGCGCCAAGAAGCGGCGCAAGAGACGAAACTGCGCCGCTTCGTCTTCTCTCAAAGATCTCAAGCCAGCAATCAGATCGCTCATTGTACTGATCAGCGTAGCAGTTGTTATGAGAGCCCTGAAGGCAATTACGCAGTTCAAGAGCATCTCAGTGGTGTTTGTCGGCTGCAGAGGGCTCTCCCCGACACCCAACTGGCAAAAACTCCAGAGCATACACATCAGGTATGAGTCCAATAATTCTGGTTCATCCCGCTCTTCACCACCCAGTTGTCGTTTGGGTGTAACCACCGCACTCCAAACCAGGCGCAAGCCATCCAGTGGTTCAAAATCAGCAGCTGCCCCAAACTGGTGAAAAATCCGGCGTAGAGACTTGCGGCCTGGCCAGCTTTCACAGGGACCGCGGGGCCCTGGGGAAACATCTCGGGCAGGAACTAGGATAACTATGGATAACTAAGTAAATGCTAAGTACAATATGTACAATGAAATCATTCAATTACTAAAAGTTGTGGTGATGCCAAACTTGAACTTTTTCCAGGCGCACGGCCTCCCGATACGACTTTTACGAGCTGATACGACTTAATGCTAGCGCTTGTATAACAAGGAAGGCGACGCCGGCGAGAAATGCGAGAAAACAAAACGGTGGCAAGAAGTCCTCAAACGCCTCGAGAGACGAGCCAACAAGGGGGAAAAAAAAAAGCGCTCATGGACCAACCAGTGGCAACCTGGTTGCCCTTGCGATCTCTGCAGAGTGACCATACCTTCTTTGGGGAAACACGCACGTTTCGCTTTTCCAACGGTACTCTCTATGTAAGTGCGTTCGACTCAAACACTACAGCCCAAATACAGACACACTGCAACTTGAGGCACCTGCGAATGTAAAAGATCTTGGAAGGTAGCAAAGCCTCTCCGAAGCTTGATGGCCCTCATGATCCGGGCCAAGCGCAAAATCCGCAGCATGAGCAAGCTGCGTGACCAGCCCGTTTCAGAAACCAATGGCATGAAATAGTCCATGGTGACAAATATCCAATCCAGAGCAATCAGACCAAGGTCATACAGCATCCAGCGCATTGCATATTGATAAGCAATCTTCTTGAAATCACTGATGAGCTCACCCTGTTGATAATATCCAGTGAAGAAGGTGAGAATGAAGTCCATGGACCAAAAAATCGGCATGCCGATGTCCATCGCATGCATCGCGGAGCTTTTTGGGTGATCAAAGACACTCAAAGGGATCACCAAGAGATCGTACAGCACTAGGAGAGCAACCAACGAGTTCCAACATGCTCGGAAGCCACCGCTTGGATGAAGCCACATCCACCTGCAAACAGGGTATTGCCCTTTGGCCCTGTGTCCAATCCTGAAACCAAAACTTCCAATTACCAGATCAGCATATTCCAGGCCTCATACAACTAGCTTGAGGGTCTTTTTTCTCTTCAGACCTCAGCAGGAAATTCATGGAAATTCAAAATGTAAACTGACGTAAACGAACTGTTCCAGAAACGAACGGGGCCGCTTCTTGTTGGCCAAGCTGCGTCCCACTTGTTGTCCACAAGATTTTTCGAGACCGCATGGTTCCGCTTTGAAGCGCAAGGCGCTCAGTTTTCTTGTCCCAACATTGGTGCGGTTTCAGCTGAACGCTCATGATGTCACCATCTTCGGGCACCACCAAACCCTGCAGTTCCAGCAGGGTCATCAAGGAGGGAGTGTTGGTTCTCAGCCTCACCATTGCGGGCGAACACAGAAATTGCATTGAGTTTCCTTGAGTTTCCCAAATTTGGTGACTGGTCTGTTGTCACGGACATCCAAAACGGAGTGAAAGCCAAGACTGAAGCAAACTTCAAGAATCTTGGTGACTACCCGTCTTTGGAAGCTGCCAGAAAGTTGGGTGTTGAAGAAAACCCTTGAAGCCTACTTTACACCTAAATGGCCATGCAATAAACCGATCTTCATCTGTGCCCCGTTCCAAGCAAAGCAACCGATCTTCTTTGGATCGCGGGTGTGGGATTTCCTCATCCACCAAAGAAAAGCCACGAAGTTTTTGGTCCGGTTTCATCCTGGGTCCGCATGGGTCCGACTGGGTCTGATTTCTTTTAGGTATCCGAAAATTTCCAAATCGTGTTTATAATATGTCAAAAGATTTTGACCCGTCAAAACATGGCCATTTGGAGCGTCCCCAAGTTTCAGCCGATTTCGATCTGGTATGGGTCAAATTTCAGAACCAGACAAACCATCTCGAAATGATATTGCAATGAGCTATTTGGCCAAGTAACAGCGGTGACACTGGAGTCTCGGATTGTGGAGCAGAATGAGAAACGCACCTAACAAGCTGAAAAAAAAAGTTCAAGAAAAGTACACCAAAAAGACCTTCCACAAGGACGTTGATTGTTTTTCATCCTCCTAATTGCGCCTCTTTAGCCAAGGACATGGCCAGAAACTACGTCAGCATATGAGGGGGAATCCTGATGAAGGCAGATGCTCAAGCCCAGCCATGCAAAATGAAACCACCAGCTCAAGCCTCTGAGGTCGCACTTGCTCACTGTATGCTCCACCATCCCTGTCACACCACACAGTTCCACAGAATCCAAACAATTCAATGGAAAGAAATCAGGTCCGTGGATGTCAATGGATGTTCCTTATACCTTCACCAACGCCAACCATTTCCCCAGAGGCCAATCGAGCATCGGCGCCCGCTTCTGCTTCCCGCTGGTTCTTCAAGTGAGTCTTGAGCACTTCGCCTTACATGTTTATGGATGAAAATTGAGGTAAGGCAGTAAGGCCCATAATATCCATGTTCAATTCAAGATTCCCAATGTTCAATGCTGTACAGCCGCACATATCAACGTCGTTTCAATCTGCAGCCATGCAGCCGACTCAAGCCGCTGATGCCCCTTCTGAAGAAACCGTGAGAATGGCGCCTGGACACCGCCCAAAATCTGCTAAAATAACTGTTTGGGGGAATGCTGCAGAAAACTAAACTAGAATGCCTGACTGATCCTTGAGTATGTAGCTAATTTCACCATGTTTTGTCATAATGGTGCGAACAGAATGACCCCTCTTCCGGGTGTATTGTTCCAATGGTGTAGGTTGGTTTGCGCTAGTGCTGAATCTAGGCGGCATAGCAGCCTTTGACATAGGTTATGGCAGTTGCAACAGGCGTACAATGCATGCACGGTACATGGCCTATAGAGTAGCCTATATACACCTGTGCTACTGCCTGGATCTGCCTAGATCTAGCAATTGGTCTCAACAGTAATGTCCACCCATGTCATGCCTCCGAGCCAGCACTTGCTCGCTGATTTCATCGCCATCCCTGTCGAGGGCCAATGCCATAGCCGCGGGGGTCAGAGGGCCAAAGTGCTGAATGCTCAATGGACTGACGGACTGATTTGGGGGAAATGTTGCCTGACGTTGCAGAAAACCAATGTTTTTTTGCTCCAACTATAAGGGTTCCCGTAGAGTTGCGCTAAACGGATGTTCAGTGCATGAGACATGGCGTTCACCTTTCGCCAAACAAAATGGCAAGCAATTAGTAAAGGCTGCACGACCGAATTTTCCCCCTTGACTGAAAACATCAAAACGAAACCACCCTCGCATCCTATGATTTTTCCTCTCTAGACAAAAGGAATGAAAACATTATTCTAAGCCTTGCTGCGCCAACCACCGTATAACTAAAAGGTGACACTAGGAACACCTGTCGAATCGGCCATTTTTACAGCTACTTCAAAATCCTTCATTGTTAATTAGCTCAAAGCTGCTGCATCGCAACAAAAACTCTAGGAAACAACACCATGCCATCACCATCCAACACCCAGCCGCTTCCAGAATTAACATGTGGCCAAGCAGCTGGTGCCTTACCTCATTTAGCCCTTGTGACTTGCTGCTATAGGACAACCGCCTGTACTGGTGGGTGCAAACAGTGGACACCGGTGCCCCAGTTGCAAGAAGATGCGCAAACGGCATGAATATCATGAAAACATAGACAACTTACTGTTCAAAGGAAGTTTCGTTCGAAAATTTCCGAGCTACCGACGAACATCCAGGGGCAGTCTTGGCATCATGTCATCTTCAGGTCAGCATCATCATGTCAAAAACATGGTGAACAAGAGCAGTTCAAGTGTGGGAGCCGTAGAGAAGAGTAACAGCTTGGGAACGCGTGAAGCCACGGGTGAAAACACTCTCAGGCGCAAAACCCTGCTTTTTCGGGTAAAGTGGTTTCCGTGGTCGCTGAAGGAGGGTCTCCGTTTTCTGCGGTTCCTGGGTTCGATCTGGCAAAGTTGTCGACAAAAAGCGCACAGGACTGTAGAGAGAGACCTCGATTTGCACTTGAAAATGTTGAAAAAATGCCACGTTCGGAACACTTTTGGAAGATGATGTCGGCAAAATGTGCACGATCTGCAGCGAGAGCTTGATTTGCAATTCAAAATCGCAAAAAACTGACGGAACAGTTTTGGAAGATGAGGTCTGCGAAATGCGCACGAGACTGTAGCGAGAGCTTGGTTTCACGTAAAGATCAAAGATCACAAAAAACTGGCATGGTCGGAGCACTTTTGGAAGGTCGGCAAAATGTGTACCAAACTGTAGCGCGAGCTCGATTGCACATGAAATCTTGAGAAGAACTGGCACGTTCGGAGCAGTGTGGAAGGTGTTGTTATTGTTGTAGGGTTGATCAATTTGGTGTCAGGCTTCTGCTATGTGGGTTTGCAACCGGCTGTCACAAAACGTATTGGCACGGCTGCGCACAGCAAAAGCATGAGTTCTGCTGCGACGCTCTTGGGAAGTGGGATTGGAGGTGGAAGTTGCTAAACGCATTGCAACAGCTGCGCGAAGAGATGAATTGGGTCGCAGAAGCTATAAAAGAGCTATCTAAGAGACAGGTCAGAGCAGAAGTAACCCACATAAATAAATGGCTGCTCAGAGAAGAAGTAGCTGAGAAGAGAGGTGCCTCAGCAAAGAGGACGCTCAGTGAAGTAGTTCTTCAACAAAGAGAAAAATCCTTCACCCATCCATCCATTCATCCGTCCATCCCCTCATTCATTGATTCATGGGTTCATGGATTCATGGATGCACTGATTCATTGGTTCATTGATTCATTGATTCACGGAATCAGTGATTCCTTGACTCACTGAATCAGTGAGTCATTGATTTGTTGGTTCACTGATTCATTGATTCATCGACTCACTCATTCACTCTGTCATTGATTCATCGACTCATCAGCTCACTATTTCACCCGTGTATTGATTCATTGATTCAACGAATCACCGAACCACTGAGTCATTGACATTGATTCCCTGCATCACCGTTTCACTGATTCATTGGTTCATTGCTTCATTGATTCACTGAATCACTGCTGATTCGTTGACTCATCTACTCACTACTTCAGTCATTCATTGATGCACTGATTCATTGATTCATCGGCTCGCTAAATCATTCATGAATTCATTCATTGAGTCATTGTTGCACTGATTCATCGATTCATTGGTTCATTGGTTGGCTGATTCATTGAGTCATTACTTCGTTGCTTCATTGATGCACTAATTCATGACTTCGCTGATTCATTGATTCATTGGTTCATCGGCTCATTTGTTCATTGATTCATTCATTTGCACACGGATTCTGTCATGTCATTTCGTTGGCATCTCAACCACCATTTCCTCATTCGTTGATGCGCCTCACAACTTCAATCCCTCATGGTCTCTGCATCTCAAAAACGTTCCTATAGGCCATGTCCTGTTTTCGAAACTTCCGCCCCGGCGGGTGCCGGGCACTATATCTGGCATCAAAGAGAAAGCATTGCTGGCATATGATACTCCGTCAGTTTCATGCACTTGAGCTGCAACGGGTGGCACCACCCCTTGACATGATGCAATTGATTGGACCAAGACAAAAGGCCTTAGAAGCATTTGAAACTACCAACCAGAAAGCATTTGCGTATACAGTATATGTTTGCCTACCAATTTTGCCAAGCTTGGTTCTTACCGATACTGAATACCGACTGAATACCCATACATTTCCGAATTTCCAAGCCTTTCACGTAGGTCGCTCAACTTTCTCTCTTCCCTGTGATGCCAGCGGGGAATCGAAACTGAAATCGTGGCTTCTCAGGGAAAATTCTTGACAATCAAGTTGACATGTTCTGGCTGCTCGCGCCTACATTGTCTGGAGATAATTATATAGACATCATGCCAGCTTCATGTTGTGGGAAATAGGTCCCAAGGATGTGCAGGGACGGGGGTCACATTCGCCCCTACCCCAACTAGAATCACATTCGCCCCTACCTCACAATCCTTTCCATTGAATACCTCATTCAACCTTTTAAGGTTTGACCTGGGGACAAGGGACATTTAGGGGGGACTTGGGGACATTTGTTAGGGGGGACTTGCGGACAATTGGTTAGGTCACTTGCCTTTCCATTGAATACCTGAATTCAACCTTTTAGGGTTTGACCTGGGGACAAGGGACATTTAGGGGGGACTTGGGGACATTGGTTAGGGGGGACTTGGGGACATGGTTTGGGGGGGGCACGGGGTCACTTGCCTTCACATGGTTGATACAACGTAGCATCCAGAGCGTCTCGGAAGTTGCTTATAGTGGATGTTACAACGTAGCATCCAGAGCGTCTGGGAAGTTGATTGAAATGGATGTTACAACGTAGCATCCAGAGCGTCTGGGAAGTTAAATGAAATGGATGTTACAACGTAGCATCCAGAGTGTCTTGGAAATGACTTCAAGTGGATGTTACAACGTAGCATCCAGAGCGTCTTGGAAGTTGATTGAAGTGGATGTTACAACGTAGCATCCAGAGCGTCTTGGAAGTTGATTAAAATGGATGTTACAACGTAGCATCCACAGCGTTTTGGGAGTTGCTTGAAATGGATGTTACAAGTTACAACGTAACACTTGAAAAAGACGTCGTAGCTGACTGTCACAGCTGGAAAACGATCCTTTCGAGACTCTGAAACTATTGCGCCTGCCACGCAAAACGAGGTCGGGTCACATTCGCCCCTACCTCCACGTTGAGTAGGGGCAAGTGCGACCCCACATGAGGTAGGGGCAAATGCGACCCCCATGCCTGTCCCGAGTGCAGAGTCTGTAACTTCTACTGTCTTGAAGGGCGTACGCCCTGAAATTTCCGGAAGTAACAGCGTGAAGAGACTAACCTGCTATACCATTTCGATCCATTTCGATCCGAGCCTTTTCGCGCAAGTCTGCCAAAACTTGGGATTTATTCTCTTCGCACCAATGGAGCTGTGGTGCATTTGGACTCAACGGTGCTAGGGGCAATGGAGGTGTTCTTAAATGGAGGACCCCAAAATCGTCCAAATTTTGTATTTGTTACCTGTCTTTCATGTGACTTTGAGAAACACCCAGCTGCTGATATGCACCATTCCCAGTCGAGAATCTTGAACGCTGCGCCGTCAGCGACATCCGCCACATAACCTCACACTTTGCGCACTGCAACTTCTGGAAACGTTTTGCGTCTGGACATTTTCTGAAGCGCGCTGGATCCAAAATAGAAACGAATGGAACATGAACGATACTGCTGCTAAAAAATACAGCAATGATGCAGTGCAGCAATGCAGTTTGGACCCTTTGGGTTTCCCTAGAATCAAAACTACCGCTGCGCGCCCAACCATGCTTTTGCGCGCGAAAGGGCTGAAAAGGTCTTTGCCCATTGGGCTCAGGGGGTGGGGGGGTGGGCTACCTTGAGCCCAAAACTAAGGTAAACCCTATTTAGGTCAAAACCTAGAGCGCGCTACACTAAGCTCCTACAGTTTGGACCCTTTGGGTTTCCCTAGAATCAAAACTACCGCTGCGCGCCCAACCATGCTTTTGCGCGCGAAAGGGCTGAAAAGGTCTTTGCCCATTGGGCTCATCCCCCTCCCGTCATTTCGGCAGATGCAAGGGCGACTGCCCGGGCGCGAAACGCGCCTCAGGCCTGTTGGCAGCGAGCCCGGCCGACACAGGGCCGCCGTGGCACAAAATTGGGTTTTCACGTCGGTGCGAGGTCAGTGTTCAACATAGATGCTGCCATTCCCCGGGAATATTCCCGGTCTTCCCACAAGTAGGAGTGGAAAGCGTCGCTCGCCCAACGTCCAAACCTTCTCACCACAGATGCGTCTTTAAATGCCGTCCATAGCGCGCTTGCACCACCAAAACGTAATGAGTGCGAACCAATCGTTCCACCCACACCACATTGGCAAGCGGCTTCTCTCAGCAGCATCTGGATCGCCTCCCTTTGGACTCCCTCTCCCGAGGGAGTCCTAAAGAGCGGCTCTGTAGCTTCGCAGCCGCCCAGATATCTCTCTGGGAATTTCTGGAACAGCCGGACAACCGATTCTACTGGGCAAGCTTGGTTTCCAGTTCGGTAGTGATTGCGATTTGTTTCCAAGTTGTAATTGGTCTTGCTGCCGACGAGCTTGACCCGAACTTCATCGGCCTCTACCAGGTTGCTGATAGTGCACAGGTTGCCATGAGAGTACAGCAGTACCTGGTGGCCCTTCAGGTGTCTCGAAAGAGGAAGGTAACCAAGGGGAAGGAATTCAGAGGCCCTCAACAGAAAGAAGAACCCAAGGCAGATCCCGGCCCACAGGAGCACAGACTCCGGGCTCGAAGACGAGCCACGGAGGCGATCATGTAGATAGTGGAGCATCCTGGGGGTCACTGGTGCCCTCCTTTCAGGAACCTTGTAACGCCTTCGTAGGCCGGCCAGTGCCATGGCAACTCTTCCTCGGCCTTCCAAGGGATCTTCCATGCCGAGTGAAAGGTGGACGCTGCGCACTGCGGCCAGCCGAAGCTTCAGCGTTCCCGGTGCGCGCCCTTCATTGCAGGCACAATGCAGGAGAAAGTCGATGAGGAGTGCTTCTTCCGTCTTATTGCTGGAAGGGCCAGTGAGAATCCAACTGACTCCTCTACGAGCGCAAAAAAGCCTCCACCACTTAAGTTGAGATTCATAAGTCCGCCGGGTAGAGATGGCGAGGCGGTCAAGGGCGACACGAATGGCTTCCTCGTGATAATCTTCTTTGCACTTCAAGCGTAGGCCCAGCGTGGGTCCAGTCACCCCTTGCGCTGCCCTAGCAGCCTGAGGGTTACCTAGCCGCCTCGGCTTCTCAATACTCTGTTTCTTACCCGTGGCTTGACTGGTGGGAGATCCGGCTGCCGCGAGGGTCTCGTGGTAGGGTTCGAATCGAACCTTGCGGCCACTCGGACCCCCCACACGGGTCCTTTCCTGTCCTTCTTGTGGGCCCCCGCAAGGTTCACCCCAGTGCCAGCAGACACCGGCCAGGTACAGGCCCAGCGCTGTCGCCAGGAGGAACCAGTGCGCGATGGCATGATTCGTGTCCCTTTCAGCATCGTTGTTGCGCCTTGGGCCTCTGATCGAGCCGCGGGACTGGGACGGGGCGGCAACTCTTGCACACTCTGGGCAAGGGGCAAATTGCACCACGTTCCTTCCTCGGGTATGCCCGCACTGCGGTTTGTGCCAGCGGGCTCCGTTCCAGGTGGCCTCCACGCTCCCCTGGTAGTCGTCGACCTCAGAGATGCTCACGCAGTCTTTGCATGCTTCAAGCCAAAGGGTAGAAGCACCCGTGCGGGAGCAACCTTCTTTGTGCCAGTTTGCTCTGCGGCGGTCAAGACCCCTTTGGGACGGGTGCGGGCTCCTTTGCCGAAGATTGTCCGGTGCCGGGCTCGAAGTCGAGCCTCGACTGCCGCGACGGCGAACCTCCGCGGCGCTACTGGTTTGAGTGCGCCTGCCAGTCGCAGCTTCCTGCTGGTGGGGAGCTCTGGGAAGGTTGCCCCTTGACGAGGAAGCCAACGGGTCAGTCCGTACGGGACTGTGGGCAAGGCTGCGTCGGCATGATCCCCAGGCAAGGCCTAAAAGAACTCCGGTGAGGAGAACGAGGCCGAGCAGAACTGTCCCCTCGGAAACTAAAATCGGGGGCAACCTGGCCCCGGCGAGAACCACAGCATGGGCGTGCTCTTGCCCATGGAAATGCGCGATCGCGTGGTTGGTGTCACGTTCTGCATCATCATTGCGCGTGGGCGACAAGGCTCCCTTTGCCGCGGCCCGAGTTTCAGCTTCCTTTGCAGCTCGGTTTCTTTTCTTCGTGGCTTTTCGTTGGCGGGAGTCAGGTGCCCTACGGTATTTGGGTACCGCCCCACCGCCTTGTTCCCTCAGATGTTCCCGAAACTCGGCTATCTCCCTCCGAGCCGCCTGTTGACGTGCTTCTTCGGCTCCCTCGGGGGTTTCGATTGGTTCGTGCTTGGTGTTTCCTTCCGAGGTTGCGCCTCTCTGAAGTCCTTCCCTGTGAGCCTGGGCCCGCAAACGCGCCTTTTCTCGGCGGCGCGCCACCCAGACGCTGACTCCTGCTTCAATCTCCGAAGTGAGACGGTCCGAACTAAGGACCTTGGCGGTCTTGGAGGGTCGAGCCGGGTTGAATCGTTCAAGCTTTCTCATATACTCACCCTGGCTATCCAGAGTTTCCAGATACCGGGAGTCTTCTTCTTCACATTGGCGAACCCTCTGCGTCTCTGCTTCAAGGGCTTCCTTGATTCCTTCAGCGGCTTCCTTTCGCTGCTGGGTGAGGCGTTCCAGGTCTTCAACCAGTGCTGCCTTCTCGCCTCCCGACCCTTCCGCTTCCTTCAGGGCACTCTGGAGGTTCTCCCAGTTGGCAGTATCGGCCTCAGCGAGGGCCTGGAGCAGTTTGACCTTTCCCGTGCCAAGCTTGAGACCCTGCGCCGGGACCAGTTTTCGCTCCTCCTGGGGTTGCCCGGGCTCTACTCTTCCGACCGGCCGATACCTTGCGGGGAGCCCGATGGGCGAGTCCTCCTCTGACTCCTCTGCGGGCGGCGGTTTGACCCGTTCCAGGGTGAGGCCCTCGGGTTCCGCGCCCTCCTCATGTTTGGGTTCGAGACGCCCTGGTTTGGGGCATCCTTCGCCGGGTCCTGTGTCCTGATGCTCCTTCACCAGCGTGGGTTTCCAGCTCGATCCGGCAGAGGTGGTACCGGGCGCGGGACGCGCCTCGGCAACTCCTTGCCTTTCTTCCCGCTCAGTCGTGCCGGGGTCGAGCTTGATTTCTGCCTCGGCTGATCCTTGGTCGCTTTCTTTCTTCACTGTTCGGGTCGCAGGAGCTGAGGGCTCTTCCGGGCCCATGTCACTCCCTTCCGATACGTTCCAATCCGCCTCGGAGAGAGTGACGACGGTTGGTTCCAGGGTTCGTGGGTCCACCTGGACCTCCTCTTCTCCCTCTTCCACCTTCAGCCCGGCAACAGCCGACGCCAAGCCTGTCGCAGTCTGAGCAAGGCCCTCCTTCAGGTCCTGTTCCTGCTTGAGGCTGCCGGATGGCCAGGCGGGGAGCCTTGAGCCAGAGCCTGCAGCTCCCGCGGTGCCTGTCTTGTGGAAGGGCACTGGCGACGCCTGCTCGGGTCGGGCTCGGGCGCGAGTGCTCTCCGAAGCGAACCAAAAATCGTCAGTAGTCCATGCGACGACCTTTCCCAAGGCTTCAGGCGGGATGTCAGCATCGGCCAGCCAGACGTCATTACCCGTCACTCTGAAGGAGACTCCGGCCTCTTGGGCCTTCCGTGTGTCGACGGGCACTCTCGTCTCCAGGTCGGCCCTCCACTTGTTTGATGCCCGTTCTGGGTCAACCAAGTGAATCATTCTGCGGCTTGCTGACAGCCCATTCTGCACAATGCTGGCCGTGTGCCTGTGGTACGAGCCATGCACGAGCAGGGCAGGGACCTCGGAGGGTTTGACCAACACTCCTGGCCCGGCGACCCCGGGTATGGTGTGCCCGGACCAGGCTGCAACACAGCTCCTTCCGGTGCTCTCATCCGTTCGCACCACGAAGCGCTGTTTCAAGTTGCCTTCCACTTCGGCCCGAATCGCCTCCTCAGTGAGGTACCTTTCCGGCCATCGGAGCTTCGCACGGAGGTACCCTCTCAGGTGGTCCATCGTGACCCATCCATCCTCCGTGATGTGGCACTCGGCACTTCCTGCCTCGTGTCTGAGGCAGGAGGCGAGGGCTTTCGAGAACTGGATGTTCCAGTCCTCTTCCTTTTTCTTACGGCGCTTGGTGCCTCCGGCCCTTCGCTCCGCCTCCCAACCTCTGCTTTGGAGCCAAGCCATGAGCGCCGCTCGCGCCTTATCTTCCCACGGGAGCGAACAAATTCCGACTCTTTCAGAATCTGCGTTCCCGGGCTCGAAGCAAGCCTCGGGAGTTTCGTCCGCCTCCGGACTTTCAACCTTCGCCTCAGCAGCGCTGGACTGCTCGGGCTCAAAGCAACAACCGCTGGCGCCCCGGTCCGTCCCCAGAGCACTCGCCCAACGGCCCGCTACTAGAGCCAGGCTGCGGGGGGTACCCATGAGCCTTCCCAAGGCAAGTTCAGTGGATGGGGTGTCCTTGGGATGTTGTTCTACCCTACCACCTAACAACCTAAAGGCCTCCCCGGGCGTGATGGTGCGCGCCGCAGGGCCATTAGCACTGTACCCAAGCAACAAAAGAGACTCTTTGTTGTCATTACCCCATGACCCATGATGTAATTGGGGGAGCGGTTTAAAAGGGTCCCAAACATGACGCCTACCTTCTGGGGTTTGCAGAGTCCCTCTAGGCTTTGGGGTAGCCTGACCCAGGTGCGGCATAGCGCTGTCTAGCTTTAGGCGACCATTTTTCCAGGTGGCGGCTGGTACCCTTTTGTCTTCCAGCAACCATTCAGTGGGGTAAGTGTGCAAGGGTGGCGTAGCGGGTTCCGCGTCGAGCGTGAGACAAGGTGCTGGAGGCAGGCGCTTTTCTGCGGGAACCGCTATCAGTATCCATCGCTTCCACCAGCATTGATCCTGGAGAGTTCGGCCGCTGACTTGGAAGACACGGGTATGCCATCCTGCATCCTTCAGAATCCTTGCGGCTGCTCTGGGGCCATGAGAGGTGATGGAGTCGACCCAGACTCCTTCCGGCTCCCACCTCGCAGCAAGTTCGGCGAAGCAAGCAGCCGTAGCCACCTCGCCTCTGCCGCCTGGGTGGAAAAGGCACACATACCGCTCCGGGGCACATTCTCGGCGGCTTGCCTCTTCCAGGGTGTGTCTCTGGACGATAAGCCCCTTGGAGACAAGCTCGATTTCATAGGGGCCGGCCTCCCCAATCTCAGCGCATACTAGACCTTCTTTCAGCGGAAAGGGGTGCTTATTCGGACCCTCTGGATGCCTTCGGAGCCCTAATTGGAGGGCTGCAGCCTTATCTCCATGGTCCATTCCATCCCAAAGGAGGGCCCTCCGAGTCCAACCTTTGTCGAGAGTCCCCAAGAGCACCTCCGAGAACGGGACCTTACGGAGCTCATGTTCCTCCAGAATGCTTTGTGCTTCGGCACGCGTGAGGCTGTCGGCAACCTGATTGTGGTAGGTCCGAACATAGCTCGCGTGCAGCCTGAACCCTCCGACAGTTTCCAAAGCTGCGAGCAGCTGCAGCAGGAACCTCGCCGCAGGGGGCCCAGCCTGCCTTTTCTCAAGCCAGGAGATAACATTCTGGTTGTCCCCCGCGTAGATCACGATCTTTCCCCTCCAAGCAGTCCAGCGGGTGCAGGCGAGTGACACCACGGCGAGGAGCTCGGCGAGTGAGATCAGAAGACCGTCATCGGGATCGGTTCGATCCTCGGAGTCCGGTCCCGACTGCCCCTCGTCCGTCCTCTCTTCCCCTCCGCAGAAGTGGCGGATTCGTTGCCAAACAAGGCTCGCGGGCTCGACAATTGCTACCTTTCCGTGCCAGTCAACTGCCGCCACCCTTTCTGGAGTGGCATCTCCACAGGCCCAAACCACCTGGGATTGCATCCCTGGGAAGGAGAGCAGTTCCGAAACCGAGAGGGCCGCATTGAGAGGGTGAGTGAACCGGACCTCCCAAGAGGCGCTGACGTCCACCAACAAGCGTTGAAGCTCAATGGCTTCCCAAAATCGGTTCCAAGTCTCTCTTTGTTGTTTCTCATCCCCTTTGGCTCGAGCCAGGCCCTGCGGGTCCGCAGGGCCGAGGAGGTCATTCGTACAGCCCAAGTACGGACTCAGGCCCGGGAGCACCGCCAACCAAAACTGCTGGTTGCCTCTCAACTCTTGGATGAGGCGCAGCGGGACATGAGTGCATCCACTGTCAAAGTCAGGCAGGTGCAGGAGGTGGTACGCCTTTTCCAGCTTGGCACTTGGCAGGCTTCGGGTGTTGGCTTGGGTATCGTAAATGAGCCCCCAAATAAGTTTGCGAGTTTCCAACCGTCCCTCAAGCCAATCCTTTCCTTCGTTAATGCTGGCATCCCCAAGAACAGCACGAGTCAGATGCTCCGTCAGTGCCACCGAGGTTTCCGGTCTCAGCCCAATCTCGGGTTCGATCAGCACCGTGTCGTCCATGAGGACGAAGGAATGGTATGGGACTGTATCCTCCCACCTGGAGTTTTCGGGCGCGAAGGCTTCGTGAGCCAGTTTAATGACCCAAGCGTAGTGCATGTATTCTCCGGGCGCACCGCACCAGCCAAAGGTCAAAAACCCATAGACTATGGTGATACCTTCCTGAGTATTGCTGTATTCGGCTGGAAGATCAGCAGCGAAAAGCTTGGAGTCCTCAAGCCGAACCGGGATCCACTTGAAGGCTTCTGATACGTCCTTTTTGCTGAGCAGGATTCGGATCCTAGGGTACCGAAGCTTCCACCACAGTATCGCTCTGGCGACCTCCTGGTGCCGGGGTTGGAGCGCAGGCGGGTGCCGAGACTTGTGACAATACCTGTTCACCGGCGTGGCATCCCAGATGACCCTACCCTTATCAGAGACCGTGCGGTCTGGGTTCATCTTGGGGACCCTGGCCATTGGGACTGATACAACCCCTTCCAAGCCCTTGCCGGTGTCGAAGCAGAGCAGGGAACGGCCTTTACTGGCGTCGTCCCAGAGTTGCGCAGCAGCTTCGTCGAGGTGTTCTTTCAAGCTCGGGTGAGGCGCACTCTTGGTCCGAGTAGTCTCCTCTAAGTCAGCAGACGCCTCGACTCCCCAGATAGCTACATGCCTCGCCCTTTCTAAAACTGCCGGGTGAACCAGCCCTTCAAAGAAGTCACTGTGCAGACCAGACATGTGATCGCCTCGTTCTTGCACCCAAACCCTGCGGATAGCCCTGAGGGCTTCCTGCCATCCACCGGCTGCTGCTAGAAGAGCCGATCCTTTCTGAGCAGCAGACGCGAAATGTTCAGCGGAGAAAGCTCGGTTTCGGAAGAAATCCAGATATTCCTTTGTTGCCCGCTCAACCGCCGGGTCTAGCGGCGGCGCCAGGGGGCCTTTCAAGCCGTGGGAGTCTTTGCCCAAGTTGGAGAACGAAGAGGCCCCTCCCCCCCCGAGGAAGTCCCGCCCCCTTGAACCACGAAGGGGGCGCCCCCCGCCCGTCGGAGGCCGGCGCCGGGCGCGAAACACGCCTCAGCGCCGTCGAAAAGAACGGAGGCGAGGGGAGAGGAATGCGGCAGCTCGGATGAGGACGACCCAGCGGCGATAGCCAGCGCCGAAGAGGTAGTTTTCAGGCACAAGTAGGCGGCCGGGGACGGCCCACAAAACGCCGCAGCCACGGGGTCAATGGGCGAAGCGGGAAGGCGAACCCGGTGAAATGTCGAAAAGAGCTGGATGGCCGCGGGATCTTTCCATACGGGGCTGGTCAACGGGTGAACAAGTGTGAAGTGCCCGGGCAGGTTCAACTGGTGCTGACCAAGCTCAAGCGTAAACTGCAGGTGTTGGTGGGCAGAAGGCCCCAAGGCGCGGGCGGAAGGCTCAGGCCAGCTGCCGAGGCCCGTGCGGGGCAGGAGGACCCAAACGTGGCGAGGGCGCAAGAGAGTGAGAGCTGCGCGAAGAAGAGAGCGCACACGGCCATTGCAGAAGCTGCGGCTAGTGGCCGGACCGACAAAAAGGGCGGCGCCAACCGGCACATCCGGGGCGTTGTCCCAACCGAGGGCGTCAACGTATACACCCAGAAAATGGAGCGGTTGGCCGGGCTCAGGGAGCCGTTGGCCAGGGAAGAGCTCCTGCAGGTCCTCGCGGGTCCATTGTTCGAAGGGGGGCTCGTCGACTTCCCACCAAGATGCTCCTGCTCGGGAATCTAAAGCAGCCGTCTCAGCTGGAAAAGGGTACAAGCCGAACACCCCGGTGGTGACGCCGGTACGACGCATGGGGTCGTCTTGGCAACGCGGGCATGGTTTTGGGGCACGGGCGCGATGACGCGCCCCGTGCTCGGCGGCCGCTTCCAGGTGGACTTCCCAGCCAGCAGCAGTGACAATCCGCACGTTGTCCGGGATAGAGGTCGTGATTTCCGGGAGGAGTAGCCGCATGTGGCCCTGGTGGACCAGGAGCCAGATAAGAGATTTCGGGTCGGAACGACTGTGGGCCCCCTGGATGACTTCGCAAGAGATGCGGTTCCAAGCGTCCATGCGGACGAGACAGAACGAGACTTCTGCGGCCTCTGCCAGGGGAAAGGCTGCCAAGCACCGGTAATCCTTGTCGTGGCCGAAGAAGAGAGCGTCGTGCACGAAGATGCGCAAGTCTTCTTCAGCTTGAGTGCAAATGTCAGGTTCCGGGCCCAAATTTTCCGCGCAAGCCAGAGCCAGGCGGAAAGTTTCCTCCTGTAAGGCTGCCGCTTTGAGGCGGACCTCAGAGAGAGCGGGCACACGATTCGCGGTATGGGCCAGAAGGCCAGCCGCCACATGCAGGTAGAAGCACTGTCGGGGCTCCGTTTCTGGTTTGGGACATTGCAGAGGTTGTAGCTCAGGATGCACGGGCGCAAGCTGGTCGCCGTAGTCATAGACTGCATGGTCACCGTCTCTCCAGCGAAAGGTCGCCCAGGAGTACCCGTCGAAGCCGTGTACTGAGAATTGCCCCAATGCTCCGCGGCCCTCTCGCGACCCGACATGCGTGTCAGGGTGATTATGGAGATAGTCAGTAGCTTCCGAAGCAAGTTCGGCACTGCCTTCTCGGATAGCGTCCTCGAGGAATTCTTGAACATCGTGAGCGGTTGGAGCCCGGTTGTTTACGGCTGTTAGCCGGTTGCGCAGATAGGTGCCCAGATGCTGGGGTAGATCTGGGAGAAGGCCGCTGCTGTCAATCTCGTCCATGCAGTGACGCTTGGCTTGGATCTCGGCTGAATCGGGTGACTCCCGGTAAGTGACCGTGCGCACAGCGGGGGGCGCGTGGTCGAGGGTCCAACTTGCAGCAGCTTCTCCTGTCATAAGTCGAGCAAGGGGGTCTTCCATATCAGTGGCGGCAAAATTGGCTAGCGCCGCGGGCGCTGGGGTCCAGCCAGCTCGGGTGTCTTCCCGGTACTGGGTCGAGGCATCCTGAGGAGGAGGGCCCCCGGTCCGCTTGGCCATCTCTTTCGCTCTTTTGCCTTCCTGAATGTTGGACTCTAGCTTCTGGGCTTGCTCCTTCGGATGGATTCGATGGTGGCGTCCACCTGGTCCCCTTTGAGTTTCGGACGGGCGGGATGCCCGCCTCGTCGCAAGAGTTGCATCTGCACGCTCCAATCGAGGGTGTCCCAGCGTGGTGCGTTGCCGTGGTGCGAATACGGGCAATCCTTTCCCTTGTTGCACTTGCGGTGGGAAAAGTAATCCCAACACAGATACTTCCCGTCTTTGTCCTTCGGGCGGTGATCCATGGAGCGGCCCGCTTCTTTGCTGGTCAGAGCATTTCCCAGGAGGGGGGCGGGTTCCTTGGCGGCAGTGTTAGCGCCAGGGGCACTCCCTTTGCCTCCAGCCCGTGGGTTCCTAGGGTTGGGAGCGGAAGGTTGCGCTTTGTCTGGTCCGCCAATGTCTTCAGCTCCAGCTCGTCCGCCAGTGAGTGGTGACGGTCTCTTGAGGGCCATTGACCAGCAAGCACGATCCAACATGCGCTGTTGGCGAGGAACAATATCCGTTTGGAAGTACTCTCCTGGCGCCTGTAGGTCGAAAGTTTGAGGCAGCCGGAGCCAGGGTTCGCCATTTTCTCCAGGGGATGTGGCGAAAAACCGAAGACGGTCAAAGCTAGGGCTCTCGTCTTGCATTTCCCGCCTGGCCCTTCGATCGAGCGCCCTCAACTCTTCCGTGAAGCGGGCCCAAAGCTCCTCCCACACACTCATGACCGAATGCAACGGCCACGCATGGGCATATTCTTCCCCGAATTTAAGGAGTTGTGCCGCAGCTTTTTCCCAACTGCCATAGTACTCTGCCCCCAGGATACATGCCATGGCCCAAGCTTGGCGCAGAGCATTTCTGTACCAATTGGACAGAGTAGTGGGATTCCGCGCCCGTTTTTCCAACTTGTTATCCCCAGGCGGGCTAAACAAGTCAAACTCCTCCTCCGAGGTCTGGGCGAAATCGGCCACCGTGAGGCAATAGTCAGGCAGATTACCTTTGCCTCCGAAACTGAGGGAGGCAGCCCCAAAGGCGATGCGGTTGGTAATGTTCACCGGGAAGCTGATTTCTCTCAACAAGGGCCGGTTCTGCGTCGCTACAGACTTTAGGGCATGGTACAGCTCCTTTCCGACCGTGGCTTCCCCAAGGTGCACCGTCAGCGTGTCGCACCCTCTAGCCAGGTACAGCATCCTTTCTTCTGTTCTGCCGATCGAGGACAGCTTCCCTCGATCTTGGGCAGCTGGGTCTTCCTTCGCCGCCATAACTTTTGCGATTGTCTGCAGAGCCTTTGAAGTTTCATCGAGGGCCGGAGGTCCCGGATCGGTATATGCTCCAGCATGAAAGGGTCGGAAGGCGTGCAAACCTTGTATCCCTCCAAAACCTGCTGGACCGGACATTCCTGGGAAAGTTCCAACCGCTCCCGGGCTCGAAACAAGCCTCGGGCGCGGCAGGGCGGAATCGATCTCGCTCTTAGGGCGAAACAAGCTCGCAGCGAGCTCACCGGAAGTGCGAGGACCCGGGAAATGACTCGCAGGAGCCGAGGCCGGCCTCCCCAGCCGTGGGGCTGGCGTGTCGGATTTCTCTTCTTCTGTGGGCCTCTCCAACGTGGCCTCCAGCATCCGAGTTACCGGGTCGTATGCGGGTTCTTGACATACGGCAGGGGGATGCGCAAGGCGGTTGAGCGCTCTCCAGGCGGGTGATTCTCGGGTTTCCAAGTCTTTGTGTTGTTGCACATAGGCCTTCGCCAGGGAAGTCAGCGAGTCCTGGAACCCAGGATGCTTCCACTTGCCGTCCCCCGGGTTCCTGGCAGAGAGGGCCTGATACGCTTCCTCTGCCTCTTTGCCTGGAGCAGCTCGACCAGGAGCTCAGCAAGGTCTGCCCTGTCGGCCACCGCGCCCTGCATTGCGTTGACTTCTGGTCTCTCTGGTTGACGCGCAGTCTCTGACCTTTGGCCGGTATCCACCTGGGGCGGTGAAGCCTCGCATGCCCTAGGTGCGGTTTTGGCCCGGGGCTTCTCTTCTGTGGCTCCGTGCAACTTGCAAAAGTTGACCCCCTTCCTGGTCCCTGTGACTGGCTGCAAGCACCCCTTCACCGCACATGCTCGACCCAGGAGCGAGCCCTGGTACATGGACCTGTGGTAGTCACAGGCATGAAAGCATGGGTCGCCGCCTTCAGTGGTTGGTAACCCATCAAGACAGCTGTTGGATCGGTCAGCTTGTAGAAGCACAACGGGACAGCCTCGGGACACGTCTCTGCAAGGTCCAGCAGCAAGAGGAACCACCTTGCCGTAGTTGTCTAGGGCGACCTGGTCCGCTTGACAATGCAGCCCCGTGGGGCCTAGTTCCGCCTCGGATTCCGTCTCAGAATCTTCGTGTTTTTGGCCCTGGTACCCTGCGCCGCGCTCCGGGCGAGAAACTCGCCTCGTACGGCAACACCGGCACCACAGACACCAGCACCAAGCTCGGCCGCATCTTGCCATGCTGCGGCCGAAACAGCGGCACCAAAGTATCCCGCAAAAACTTGTGATCACCGCGCACCGTCCCCAGGGCCCTCTTCCTGCCAGTTCCTGCAGGTTGACCTCCCGGTCCTGCGGGACCGTTGCGCTGGCCCTGATGTGCACCTGCGCAACTTCTGGGGCGGCGCAAGGGTCTTGAGCGCACAAGTGGACAGCGCAGTTGGCAGTCTCTATGTGGTGACGGAGGTATCGATGCGACGAGGCTCGAACTTCTTCACACTGGCAGAGGAAACCGTGCCGATTCGTTCTTCCCCTTATAGTCCCATGACGAAGCCTCGCTACAGCAACTCCGTCTGCAACTAAGAGGTCGAATGGCTTCTGATTCGGTCCTCTTCCCCGTACCTCGCGCTGGATGTACAAGGCGGACCATGGTGTCCCTGCACCCGGCCCTTTCCACACGGGTATGAAAGGCCTCTGCCCCTGCAAGCGTGTCACATCGCTCCAAGTGCCTGTCCCTTGGCAGTATCGCCAGAGAGCCCTGGAGTGAATCCAAGTCGGATGAATGACCCACGTGTAGGTCCATACAAGCAACTGGAGCAAGAAGACGAGGACCATCCCGGTAAGGAGCCAGTAGCTCCATCGGGCGGCTAAGCCAATTGAGGCACAAAGAGTCCCACAATAGCTTATCCCATTCTCCGCAACCTGTAACAGCATCCGTACCCACATTTTGATCCACCAGCTGTTTCCGACGTAATGGTAGGCGCCATCCCAGGCAACACTCCACCAGTCCCAAGTTCCGTTACCTCCAAGCCCAGGATCCGGGCGGGATGGCCCGCCTCGGTCCCTTGGGCCTGCTTCTGTTCGGTTTCTAAGATCGTCGGAGGAGTTGATACCAGTCAGCAGTCCAAGCTGCAACAAGTTCCATCCATTTGCCGTGGCTGACGCTAGGAGGTAAACGACCCCTAGCGCGGCCCGAACCATGGCCCCCGGCTACCTTGAGCCCAAAACTAAGGTAAACCCTATTTAGGTCAAACCTAGAGCGCGCTACACTAAGCTCCTACATTTTGGGGATAGAGAAAATCGAGAAAATAATGATGGTCGCCAGGTGGATTTTGGATGATTTTGGGGGACCCAAAAGAATAAAAGAATCCTTCACCGAAGCTTGGCCGTCGGCTTTGCTGTGACCGTTGATCCCTTTTGGAAATCCAGAAATGAGGGAAGTTGATGCGACAAGAACGTAGGTGTATAAGGTGTACCCTCTGGTAAACTAACATAACTATGCAAAATCACCGTTTTTAATGGGTAAACCAACTATAAATGGCCATTTTCAATAGCTTTTTGTATGTTTACCGGAGGGTATATGGAAATACTACAGGTTGCTTTGTCCCAGACTTTCGATCATCCGGCTGAAGATACGTCGCCTTTTTCAGTAAAACTGCCTAAAGAAAGGAAGTGGCCACTGCTCGATTTGCATATGAAGTCTAAGCGGTTAAGCAAACCGCCTTAGGCACCGTGTACCTGTAATGGCTCATGTCAATCCCAGATTCAAGAATCCTGGTAGATAAATTGGGGGCCCACTCCTAAACAGCAATGATACTTATTAAAAGCGGAACCCTCAATTAAACCAACTGGCGTATGATCAAGCTTGCGTTGACCCCATTTGGGATTGGTTCAGAATAATTGATCTGCAAACTCATTGGTTGGCTTGGTATTGAATTGAAAAACAAAAGAAACAAATCTGTATCCCATGTTGTGGTAGACCCGCGGGTATAGGTGAAAAATACACGCATCATGTGCGCTAGATCATCAAAATTATAAGAAATTACTTAGACTTGTCCAAACCAAAATCCACCGGTTTGTATTTCATTCCCATGTGACCCCCCTGTGCCATTTCTCCCGCCTCACGCAATGCCCCGCGCAGAGGCAATGTGGGCTGGACCGCCACCATTGTGGCAGTTGCTGTAGCCAAGGCCCCTCAAGATCTCACAGGCTTTGCCGCCGCGGCCCCCAGTGCCTGAGAAAACCATAGAAAACCACTGGCATGGCATCGACTGGGATAAGAATGGGATACCAATTTGTGGAACTTAGTGGGGATAATCAGGGGTTGGTAACTCTCCCATTTTGGGAATATTGGACATCACCAACCATAGTAGCCATCTAGTAGACCATATACCCAATGGTTGGGTGATGTGACCCATGGGGACATTTAATGACTCATGGGATATTACAGGCATGCTTGATGTGGTAAACCACATGCCAGAGTCACCATCACTTAGGATAATGTCTGGTAGTATGCCCCTAGTATTGAGATGCTTGGTTACAGGGATGGTGCATTGGCGGTTTACCACATTAGTAGGCCGTCCAATTTCGAGGTACCGGGTACACATCTTCCCACAATCTTGAAGTCCCAATCTTGATGGACACCAGGTGTGAATGGTCGAAACGCGACCGATGTTACCAGAAAAAGGGAGAGACATCGCGCCTTGCCTAGTTGGAAGATTGAAAAATGCAAAAAATCATGGTTGTCAAGCATTTGACACAGCTCTTGACAAAATTGCTTATCCTTTCTTGGGCCCTCCCAAAATAAGTGCAACTGGATAGCGCGCATTGGGGATGGCAATGCAAGGAGTCTCTATACAATTGCCTAATGTTGCCTGTCTATTTCAATCTTTAAGAGAGCTCCAAGGTCTACAAATCACTTCTGTGTTGGGTGGCTCCTTGTCAATCATCACAAGTCCAACTGCTGAGCAGGCAACACAAAGGGATTGACTATGAAACTGGGGGGATCAGGGATTGAACCAACTATGATCACTACTTCTATGATTATGACTGGGCAACTACAATCACCACACCATTAAAAAAACCTTCTTGCCTCCCACCAAACCCAATGAAATGATTTGTTGCTTAACTGGCACGGCCCAGAGTGCCGAAAAAGGTCTGCATTTCACCCTGATTTTGCTGACGATCAAACCCACAGGAAAGCCTCAGCCTTAGCCCCAGCCCCACCGACCAGGCTGCCGCAGTGTGTGATGATCGCCTTCTCCTTCGGTGGCAGCGTCACCCCGGCAGCGCTCAGCTTCGCTTGGAATTCCTCCGGCGATGTGGGGTAGTCGCTCCTGGAGCCAGCAACTGCTATGGTTTCGATCTGAGTGTTGAGATGATTATGGATATACCTCTATACGTGAATGGGTCTCAAAAACCGTTTATGATTGGGGATCATCACTTTTGTGGAGGGTTCTAATACACCTTTGAAATTCAACGTGAAACATCGTCATGTCAAACCAAAAAGAAGGAATGCCATGCATATCATTTCCAGCGGTACATCTTCCAAGCTCAGACCTTAATCAACCCTGGGAGTGGTTGGTTACCATTATGGGTGTCCCACCCAGCTGGACTTGGGACGAGGTTCTGTTTCTTGCCGTCCACGTTCAGTGGAACATTGACCTCAAGGGTTTTTTTCTAGGTGAAAAACCTTGGAAAATGTGTTGAAAATATGAATTATGTTGAAAAAGATATTCAATATGCAACGCGATTTAGTGGGATACATGGGATATATATATATAATATAACCGGTATGAGATCCTGGCAGGGACAGGTCATTTCAGGCTTCTGAATCTTGCCACTGATTTGGGGGTTTAATGGGGGTACTGCAACTGCCATCAGACTTGTCAGGTCGTTGAGTCATGGAGAACACCAACTGCTCCTTGGCTCAGGAGGGGCCCCTTCTTAGTGTGCCGTCCAATGCTGCCAATGGCGATTCCCTGACCTCTGGTGTCAGTGAAAAACCAGTGCTGTGTGCGCTTCTTCTGCGAGTGGTGGTGGCTGAGACTATTTCCTTTTCAACAACTGCGTGAGGCAAGTGAGTTGGGATTGGAGGGGTCAATAGCCCAATACGATCCGCTGTGCTCCCGCTACATTGGTAGCGGAGCACGAAAGCTCCGAGGCCTGTGCTCCAATCCTGTCGAGCGTCACCTGAGGTGACTTGTCCTCCAGATTGGAAAGGCCTGCTTGGTTGGTTCTGGATCTACATCCAGGACACCTTCAACCTTTTGGCCGAGCTCTTTGGCAACTCTTTTCTTTTGCACTCTCAAGCGATACGGCTTGAGCCCTTGCTGGCCACTTTGGCCCAACTTGCCACTTTGGCATCATGGCTTCTGAGAAGGAGCAGAACGTTCCGGTCTGGGATGGTAGTGCGCGTTCCTGGAGAAGATACACCAGAGAAGTTTGCTGGTATGTGAGGGCTACACCTGTAGAAAAGCGCAGGTACTGCGCAACCAAACTGGTGAGCCGACTGAAGGGTCCAGCCAGACTCTTGGCTATGAGCTGGACCACCATGGAGTTTGACCACGTCAACGGTGTCAGAGACTTGCTACAACGTTTGGCGACCTCGCCATTAGTCAGGCAGACCTTGCCCAATGCTGCGGCCACATGTCAGCAGTACTTCAACTTTAGAAGAGATGCTGGTGAACAGATGAATACTTTCCTTGTGAGGGAAGCCTTGGGTTACTCTGAGTTTGTGGAGGCGCTCTTGCTGCTCTACGAGGATAAACAGGGAGTCCAACAACATGAGAAGAACTTCGACTTACCTGAAGAACTTCCTCGAGATGATTGGCAAGATTGGTGGCATGACGGTACTGATGAACCTGAACCTGATGCTGCTCCTACATCACCGTCGAGACCTACAGGCGCTGCTGCTGCGACTTCTTCACCAACGAGGTCTACTTCGGCTGCTGCTGGAGGTGATGGCACTGGAATGTCTCCTACGAGGCAATCACCACGTGCTGTAAGCTTCCGCTCTGTGGGAGTTCCTGGTTCTACGGTGCCACCTGGCTTCGAGACCTCCGACATCAACGAGTTCAGCTTGGCGGACAGTTTCGTCCTTGGGGTGCTACGTGGTTTTCGACTTCTACAAGCTGCTGGGTTGAGTCCTGAAGATAAAAGGGACATCTTAGCTTCTACGAAAGGGAGCTTGGAGTTTGATGTGGTCACAAAGGCCTTGCAGACGCTTTGGGATGAGCAGTTCCTTGGGCGTCAAGCTTCTTCAATGCGGAGCTCTATGGGAAACTATTTCAATGAGGCCTACCACGCTTCTGAGGAGCCCTATGACTATGAATGGTGGAACGATGAGACCTACGAGAACTACTGGACTGAGCCTGATGCTTGGGATTCCAGTTGGGATTCTTGGCAGGATGCTCAGTATGGCCAATCTGAACAACCTGCTGAAGATCCACCACCTGATGATGCGGCTCTTCAAGACTCACTTCAAGCAGAACGAGAAGCTGAAGCTCTTGCGCTACAAGCTCAACGAACATGGACTGAGGCCCAAAAGGCCACCGCTGCCTTGAGACGAGACCGTGGATTTGGACAACAACGTCCACCCAATGATGGCAAATGCTTTCTATGTGGAGGCAACCACTTTGCTAGGGACTGCCCTGACAAGTTTCACCCTGCCTACATGAAAGGCAAAGGCAAAGGCAAGTACACCAATGTCTATGCTGCTGAATGGGAGATGGCCGACGCCTACTACATGAAGGGCAAAGGCAAACCGAAAGGTAAGGGTAAGGGCAAATCCTTCAATGTGGTTGACATGAATGCCATGTGGAAAGGGAAAGGTAAATCCAAGAATGTGCCGAGTTGTCCGGCAGTGAATGCATACACAGCTGAGACCCAGTCCTTCTACGGCCTGGAACTTCGTGAACCACTTGAGGCTCACTCCACTGCTGCCACCAACATGAAGCCGAACCTTGGCCTCCTCGACTGCGGGGCAACTGCTAGCGCTGGGCCTGAAACCAGTGTGCAGAAGCTAATCAGCTCTGTGCTTGCCCAGGATCGTGGAGCTGCTGTGACCATTGCGAAATACATGCGGCCTTATTTTCGTTTTGGGAATGGTTGTTGGGGGCAAGCAAACTTCAGGGTCTCAATCACCTCAAAGGTTTCTGGTTGTGAAAGAACGTTTCATATGTATTGTTTGCCGGACCCCAAGAATGGCGACCAAAACAATATGGTTCCAGTTCTACTTGGCATGGATCACCTATCTGGTAAAGATTGTCCTGAATCAGCTTTAACCATCGACTTCAACACGGGCATGGCTTTGGAATCTACGAACCCCAATCCAAATGTTTTTCAACTTCCATGTAACCACAAGGGTCACTACATCAGGGATATTGTCCACTACCTGACTTTGGGGAATAGCAACCATGAGGGACATCCTACAATACATGTCATGGAGGGTGAAACGCAATCTGCAGAGCTGCAAACTTTGGAGTTTCATCCAGCGGAGTTCTATGATTTACATGTAGCTGACCGAGTACATGATCCAGAGATTTTGGAAAAATCAAGAAGGCAACTGTTGGCACTTCATGCTCACCAACATGGCCGAGTTGATGCGAATGCTGCAGCCTCTCTGGCTTCAATGTGTCCGCGAGACCAAACTGATCTCCCCAATTCGTTCGCATCTGCTTCCTGCGTGCCGCCTGACCATGTCGCAGGAACTTCACCAAAAGCAAGTTCGGGATGCAATCACTGCTGCGACGCCAAAAGCTCCACCACGGGCACTGGACCCGGAGCGCATGATGGGCTTCGACAGCAGGGATCCACGTGCGGATCCAAATCAATGGCCCTGTCACGGGTCGCACACACCAATGAAGCCTCACGGCAATGCTCACGGCCAGTGGGTGCATTGCGCAGTGTGCAACTTGAGGCTCCAGTACACGCCCAAGAAGGGAAGCCACTCAGGTGCAACCAAAGTGGAGAACCCTGCCATGGTGAAGCGCATGTTGGACCGTCTTCAACCTTTGATGGGAGACTGCCGTCCAACCCAACAGATATGTCTGGCGATGATCAAGCTGATCGAGGCGGAAGAAGTGCTTCAGGTCACCATCAACTACGAGAAGGACAAGCATGCGACCACAGGATATGCCAAGGCCAAGGCAAGTCCTTCAAGGTCGTCACCTTCAACGACATCTCCGGCGTCGCAATGGAGCGTTGTGGAGAATCCGGAAGCTCTGAGTGCAGAAGATCTTCAACGCCACTTGACGGCCGAGGAGAAGGACCAGATTCAACAGCTCATGCGCGAGCGCCAGGAGAATGCCAACAACGAGAACGAGATGGCCTGAAGTATGACAACGTCCTCAAGAATGACTTCAAGTCTGTGGATGTCGAGACCTTCAAGAATGCCAACATCTTTGAGAATGACCAGGTGCCTGCGTTTGCCACAGTCCCAAAGAATGTCAAGGTTCCGAAGATTGCCAACAAGAACATCAAGCCTGCGGAGATGACTCAACGAATGGCTGCCAAGGTGATGGTGATGTTCACAACTATGATGGCAATGGCATCGGCTTCTTTGACTTCATTCTCCTTGGATGATCGCGATGGACTTTGGGAGATTGCTTGTGCACCTCATTCATGGCTTTCTGAAGCTGCTGATCGACAAGGACTACGACCTCGACGCATCAACCTTCAAGCTGGCTATGACCTCTACCGCAAGGAGACCTGGGATCATCTTCGAGCTCTACGCCGCCGACATCGTCCTCGACGTCTTTGGTTTTCGCTGCCTTGTACGTTTTGGTGCCCTTGGACTTCGCTCAACTATGCTGGCCCTGAACGTCAACAACTTCTTGAAGATCATCGACGACGTGAACGACGAGTTCTTTGGCATGTTCATGAGTTTCTGTCTGAGGCCTTAGCTGAGGACCCTGACATACTGGTCTACTATGAATGGCCTCACCCTTGCTTTGGTTGGAAACAGAAACCCCTTCTTGCCATACAAGCTCTTTTTGAACAACATGGGCAAGAATGGAATGACTGCCGCATAGATGGCTGTCGATACGGCATGGTGGACTCCAACAACGAGTTCCTCAAGAAGAAGTGGATGATCAAAACAAATGATGAACTTTTTCATGGCCAATATCGATGCAAAGTTTGTACTGGTGGTCATTGTCATGGCCGAATTGAAGGGCGCGAGACTCAAAAGTCAAGCTACTACCCTTGGAAGATGGTTCAATCGTTTGCTCGTTTTTGGGCACAACAAACGGTTTCAAAACAACAACTGCAACGTATGAACTTCCATGATGTGGCAACTGTGGAAGACTGTGATGGTGGTGATCTACTTGCACAAGATGAAGAACCACCTGGCGATCACTCAATGCCGAGCTCTTTGCCTGGCGATGCAATTGTTGCTGCGAACCCTGCTGATGCACCATCAGCTGCTGAACGTGAACGATGGCAAGCCAAACTGAACCACTTCCACCGTTCTTCTGGACACTGCTCCAGCAGAAACTTGGCTCGCATCGTCAAAGATGCCAACCTGGAGAGCTGGAAAGTGCGTGCTGCCCTGGACTTCACTTGTCCAATTTGTGAAGGTCTACGACCTGGTGGCTCTTCAAGTGGGAATGTGCCGCCCGCTGCAACCCATGCGCAGTATGGCCCCTGGCAAGCTTTGGGCT